GAGAACTCCCAAGGTCCCTGTCCCACTTGGGCTATGGTTGCCCCATCGGCTGGGGTATGAGGGTTGTCGTGATCCTCGTTGTACAAAGAGGCACAGGGGTCTGCGACCTTTCTTGCACCTCCAACTGCCATAACAAAGTCAAAGTCGGAAATCAGCAGTCTGCAGAGCATGCTTGAATAGGAATCTCCCACGCAGAAGCGGTCTGCCAGACGGCCCCTGGTAGCAAATCTCTTGCCCTTCTGATTGTCTCCTGTCCAAGTCCAGGACCGGGACCACGGCCATGGCATTGAGTCCGGAGGCCGCTCCCCCAAGAGCAAAACAAAACAGTGGCGACTGGCTCCGAGCCTGCTGCAATTTCATCGGATCCTCAGCAGGCAGGGCGCCCGCTCACAAGGATGGCAACCTGGCTCCGTAAGGCCAGGTTGAAACAGCCACCAAAATAGAGCTGTACACCTTGTCCATACGCCCAAGCTCATCCGCGCGTAGAGGATCTGCCGCTGCGCTGGGTGCTTTGTAGCTCGTGATAGTCCTCTACTATGGCAGAGCTAAGCCTTTAGGTTTGGCACCACCAACATCCACGTGCATATGCAACCACGGCAAGTAAAGTGAAAAGGGCATGTAGCCATGTTGTCGCTACCGCTCAGGAGACAAGGGCCTGAGGCCAAGCCGAAGCAACGGCAATTGCCCTTTAGGACATGATTGACGAGGCAGAGTGCCGGATGCTGCGTGAGCATCCATGCTTTGGCTCATGTCACCAACCAACCAGAGAGATATAGACGCCTGGGTGTATAATAACAGATGGGCAAATACCTAGGCAAATACACCAGACATGTGCAGACTACTACCTCCGACCTGAACCTACAACCTGCACCGTCCTGTCGACTACCTGAACCTACGACCCGACCTATCTGCATCTTGGTAACAATCCACATCCCGTAGTAGACTACACTTTAACGGTCGCCGCCCGCCGGTCCGGGACCAGCTTTGCAGTTTTTCAACCTTGTCTGTCGTCGCTGGTATGCGAAGGTCAAGCGAGATGACGCGGCGCCGGCACCGTTGCTGTTCCTCTATTACTCTAACCACCCCAAGCAAGTCGAGCCACTCCAGCCCTCCAAAAGTACAGGAGTAGATCTATACGTCCAGATGGGAGACTTTGCAATTCCCATGTTGACCATCCCGCCCGGCATCTCATGCTTGCCCTAAGAGGCGTAGGCCCGTGGAGTCGCGGTGGAGAGCAGCGGCCGCCCGCCCATTGCTGTGTGTGATTGCTCATTCTCCCAGCCACACCTCAAACACGGCGTCCTCTCTGCCGTCGCCTGTCTCGATGGATCTCGCCCGCTTGTCGCCGTCCTCTTGGTGGGGGGTGGATATCATTGGGCGTGCCAAGCTCCGCCTTTTCCTCCCGAGCCTGATGAAGCTGCCCATCGCCGTCGTTTCCAGGCTTGCCACCGTTCCCCAACTTCCCCGTCCCGCGGCTTGATACTGTGCCTGCCGACGTTGCATCTGGACACACCGACAGCTACAACCCAAGATGAGGACCCAAGATGAGGTGAGAATGATTCACCAAGTACCGGCAGCAGCAGACGTGTGCATACACAACCAACCAACCTTCTCAACTGCCTCCGCTTTCGGGACGATAACCGATTCCACCAGCCTTCGCACGGAACCGTTGCCAGTGACATACCGTTTCAAGGGTGTCGTAGCACAGCCTCGACGCTTGAGCTCGCTCCATCTTCTCCTTCCTCTCGAAATCCCAACTGACAAACAGAGTGCTTTATCTCGTCCCTTGGTAGACAACAAACACCCAAATAGCAGAGAATAAACTCTGATAACAATAAGGTAGGTTACATGACGTGCTCCAATGAATCACTAGTGTAGTCGGAATCCTTGTCAATCTTACATACGTACATTTGGGCACTCGACACGAACATGTCGCTCCTTGGCATGCAGACCTGCAAGAGCCCCAATTCCAAATCATCGTGCTGCGGCCACATCCGAAAGTTTACTGGGACTCGGCAGATGGCAACCACTTCATATCAACCTGAACCTTCATTATGTGGCATCAAGTCACACCGAGGTCGTCCCGTTGCTACTGCAAGCTGAGGAATCGGTGGAGCCTTTCTGTGCAACCTCCAAATTTCTCTATGCAACCCATGCTGCCTGTGCGTGCTTTTCCTGGAGGATAGACTGCATGTTCGCAAAGCTCATTTGACACCGGGTCGCCGACCTTGAGCAAAGTAGCGTTTACGGGGTCACCGCCCCCAAGGCTTGTGGAGTTCAAAGTCGATAGCTCACATGAGAAATGTATGACAGTGCAGCCTCCAAGTGTAGTGATGTGTTCGTTTTGCCTACAACTGGTAAAGATGATGGCGTTCCCCCACTTCCCAGGCTGGCTTTAGCAGCGGGCGGCATCTTCAACCCGGGTCTATTCTTTGCTTTTTGGGGGATCGCACTGCCTGCAGATTCCTACTCGTGTCTACAATTCCAAATAGTTTGGCCGTCATACTGCTTTAGGACATGATCAACCAGCCAAGAGACGAGAATACAATACCAGCTAGAAAACGAACAGCTGGACCAAACCGGGAATACCAGCTCTGCCAAGCCGTGAGACAAGATCTCCCCAGGTTACAGTATAGTGCCAGTTTCGGATCATTGCTTCGCTTCAACCCTGGGTTGCAGGACCGATACCCGCTGATCTTCCCTTGATGCTCCCTTAAGCCAGGCTTTAGTGTCTCCTCTCCGCAGACTCATGTCTAAGTGGGAAAAGAAGGCCAACCCACCCGTAGGGCTGTTTACTACATATCCTAGTTACTTGCCTCAACTACTATCTAGCTTAGGTACTACCAATTCGAGGTTCCACCCTCTCGTTCGCCAGTTGTCCGTCCAAGTTGGCGTGTGATTGGCTCCACGCTAGGAAATCATGTACTCAGATAGCCTCAACGTCCTGCTAACCGTTCAGCCCGCTACTGGTGGAAATTGGGAATAGAGTCCGCACCGGTTTTTAGATGCTTCCTGCAGATCCTCCAGAAGATGACCGCATCTCCAAAGGAAGGCTATTAATCCAACTAACGCGCGTGCGGGGGGACCCTACAGGGTCTCTTCTCGGAAGATTTGTCCCGTTTTGGGTACTAAATCTGCAATCCTTATGCGCTGGAGGAAGCGACCCCTCAAGAGCGGAATATTGCCAGTTATCACTTCTCCCATCTCGGCAAACTCAATAGTCGAGGCGAATTCCCGTTGCGATTGCGAACGCAGGTTGCCCGAGAGGATCGATAACGGCTTGAAGTCAGCCTTCATTGTCGGGGTACTCGGCCTGTGATACCAAGATCACACTGCCACACACCTGAGCCGAAACCCAATGCAAAGTTGAAAAAAAAAAAAATCACATGGTTGGAAAGGCATTCAGCAATTTCATCCAATAGTCTCGCATGGAACACTTCCCTCTCGCGGGATTCAGTGACTGCAGGGCGCCCAAATGTCATTGCAGACGGTCATTTTCCATAAGTCATGCTCCTCCCAGAGCGGTTAACTGACAAGCCCTACAACCAAATCTTAATTTCCTTTTCATAGGTAGATAAAGCTGCATATTCATCCTTTATCTCTTCACCTCCATGTTAGTTACTGTCTACAAGTTTCACGGATCGCCATGATTCTACAGGTAAAGTCATTCTTATGTTTTCTCTTATCCTTCCCAACAAGAAAAAAACTAAGAAAAATTGCTGACTGCCTTTCAGAAGTATGCGACGTTCTCACACAATTGGCGGAGCTCCCATTGTATTGCACTTAGCCAGGATACTTGACATTTCAACAAACTTGACCTAGGGGCAATGATGAAGAGCTGAAGTGACCTTCAACAAGGGCCCCTCTCCTCTTCTCCGCCTCCAATAGGTAGATTTCGACCTCTACCCACACATATATAATCTAATCCCTTCACGAAACAACAGAAAACGAAATGAAGGTGGTGCGGCCCAAAATTTGGGGTTAAAATCCGTCCCTCCACCAACAGGACCACGCAAGCCAGGTCAATGGAGGCGAGGGTCAACGATCGGCAAGCTTCTGGGCCCTCAGGTGAGGAAGAAACATATTTTCCCACCTCATTATGAAACTGTTATATCCCCCCAACGCTGCTATAAGTAACAGACGAATTATGAGGCCAAGTTTGGCAGATGATGGTCCGATTGGCCTTCGGGCCACTTCCCCGGGCCGCATTAATGAGTTGCCTATTCAGCAGCACGGTCCGAACAAGCCAAATCACAGATTAAGAGTTGTGCGTTGGCAACCAGCCTCCTGATAACAATGATCGGTTTCCAAAGCCTCCTGGGGAAGGTCAGTACACTCCTACCTTGTCCTATAGAGCGACCAGCAGGTCTCTCGGGACCGATGACAATTATGATCACACATCGCGGCACTCTAGCGATACCGGATTCGAGGTTGACTGGCCAATGTGGGGCCTGACCTGAGCATCACGTCCGATGTCGTCTGTGGGTGCGTTGTATTGTGCCAGTATTGGATGTCGCAGCCTCTGTCCAGCGATGCAATCACTAGGTATATAACGAAGCATGAAAAAAATTTAGCGACCAGGTGAGGACCGGAAAATTAATTCCACGACCACGTCTAGGACTTTCAGTTGAGTACGTAGCTTGAAGATGAAAATCCATCCCGCAATGTTCTCATTTGAATGACCAATCTTGGTCTGTGAGCAGAGTCATTTCAAGAGAGTTTTGAGTCACGTGATCTCTACGATACCCAATAATGCGCCGTTCCCGGCTGTCACCCACTAAGCGGATATACTATGAGTCGAAAGAGGAAAAAACTCCTCAAGTTTAATGGTCGAGATTCCAGGTTTAAATTCGACGAGTTCTGGGGACCCAATCGCTGAGGCTTCAGATTGAATCGTCAGGCCGTCAAGTTGCAGTCGTCTGGAACTCCAAATCCACATTGTCCAGATCTTCAAGCCAGCTGCCTACCAGTTGCCTATAAAGTAGGGCATAAGAAACACCATGCCTTCCAGATCAGAAATCACGTATTTCGGGGCCGGTCCCGCTGGACTTCCCACATCTGTGCTTGAGAAGGCCGCGGAGGCTCTGGTCGACTTTGGTTCCCAGGGCTTGGGACTGGCTGAGATCAGCCATCGCTCTGCACTCGCCACCAGCATCATCAACGAGGCCAAGGCGGATCTAGCCTCGTTTCTCGACATCCCAGATGACTACGATGTGATCTTCATGGCCTCTGGGGGAACCGGACAATTTGCAGCGACCGCCTACAACTTTGTCGGCTCCTGGGTTGCCCGCAAGCACAAGGAGATCGTCGGCGACAGCAACGACCCCAAATTGATCCAGCAACTGAAGGAGACTGTTGACAAGGATCTCAAGCTCGATTACATTATTACCGGTGGGTGGTCGCAAAAGGCATCGGCCGAGGCCCAACGCCTCTTTGGCGAAGAGCATGTCAACATCGTGGCCGACAGCCGCAAGTCCAACAACGGAATTTATGGTAGCATCCCAGACGAGAGCACCTGGAATCTATCTCGCGATAGTGCTCTGGTATATTATTGCTCAAATGAGACGGTCCATGGTAAGTAAACATCATTTAGTGAATCAAAAAGACAAGAGATGATTGAAAAAGCTAGGTGTCGAATTCCAGGAGTTCCCCAAGTCTCTCGCGCCAGGCCCGGACGGAAAGGGCCCAATTGTCGTGGCCGACATGAGCTCTGACATCCTCTCTAAGAAGATCCCCATCAGGAACTTCTCGGCTATCTTCTTTGGCGCCCAGAAGAACCTTGGAACGGCAGGTATCACCGTCGTGGTCATCAGGAAGAGCCTGTTATCACCCGCACTGCCTCAGCCCTCCGCGGCTCTGATGCGACAACTGGGTTTGCCTATCCCGCCTATCATCCTTGAGTATGACACCATTGCGAAGAACAACAGTCTTTATAACACGCTCAGCATTTTCGAGTAAGTTGCCTTCAACCTGCGACGACTTCCCTCATTACGGGTGAAACTAATTATATACAATAGTGTATACATTGCCGGCCAGGTGCTGAAGAAATTATTGCAAACATACCCTAACAAAGTTGAGGGGCAGCAAGCCGTGTCCCAGAAGAAGGCCGACCTCATCTATGGAGCCCTGGACGCATATCCCGAGGTCTACAAGGTCTTCCCCGAGAAGACGGTACGATCACGCATGAACATCTGCTTCAGAGTCACCAAGGGCGGCGACACCGATGCCGCCGAGAAGGCTTTCCTGGACCAAAGCACCGCCCTTGGACTCACCGGCCTCAAGGGACACAGGAGCGTCGGGGGAGTGAGAGCCTCCTCGTACAACTCCATCTCTCTCGAGGGGGCGGAGAAACTTGTCAAATTCATCAACGATTTCGCAACATCCTAAGAGGAGGACTCGAGTGTATGCAGACAAGAAATAGTTCGTCTTGAAGAATGACGTAACCAAACGGCGACCTGGATCTCTTGAGCCTGCGATTGCATTCAACTGCCGCAATCGAGATCCTGAGTCTTGAGACCATTTCCAGAAAATGAGGTCGGTTGACAGGGGAGAGGAACATCAGTGTTTCAACACTGTTAAGGAAATCCCAAGCGAAAGAGGAAAAGTTCATCTGTCGTATCCGGTGGCATAAAGGTGGGCGAGACGAGATCCAAGAGACTACATTTCTCAAGACATCTCACCATAGTCGCCCACACAAAATCAAAATCAAAATTAGTTTATGCATTCCCTATTCAATGATATCTCACTGCCATAGGAAAATGTCCGAAAATACAGTCACGCCATGAGATCACGAACACGGTGGTGCTCAATGGGAAGGTAATTTTGACCATCTATCAAGCAATGTACGTGCTCGATGTCGTAAACCTATACAACCAATACCAATGGACCCACCAGGAAGCTTCTCCTCGAACTTTGATTGCGCCCCATTCGAACATTGAGTCATGGTTTGGGACATCTTTCACACAAGTTCCCAACATATCGATCCGTCACTCACCAAGGCTAAGTTGTGAGCAATGCCAACGATTCAGAAGCACATGGCCGTGGGATCGGGCACGCGAGCTATAACGAACGACTAGTCTCGACTACCCCAAGACTTTAGCCCCAACGCAAGGAAAGGCTGTGAGAGCGCTGACTGCTTGGTAGGGAAGTAAACCTAGCGGTTATCAGATAAACCATGGCTTCCATGCTGTTCAATTATTCCAGATCTCTATAGCCCCGGGCCGTGGGGAGATGGTCGTCAGGATTAACTCTGCAAATAGGGAGTAGATCTTCTCTGATCAAGAAAATGACTATATTGAGTGCTACTTTCCTAAGCTCACGAACCAGCCACCATGGTTACCTGATTTAACCCCTTCCGCTCTCTGCTGTTCCCTTTAAGATAAAATTGTTCAGTAATAGACATACACCGCCAATAGTTTGTTTCTCCAACCTCGTCTTCACACTCTTTGCTTCCCGTCATCCAATCTTCCCGACCAAGTCTTGCGAAAAGAGTCAAACTTCCACACAGACCATCTGCGCATCGCTTTCTCAAACCCACTCAAATAAAAGTTTTCCAAAGCATCTTCCATTCGATATAATAACTACTGTCCCCGAATTTCATTTTCCTGAAGAATTTGGCGGCACCATTTCTCCTCAAGACAACGAAGAATTGTTGCGAATGTCATATTCATGATCGGCTTGGAGTGCTCCTCTGGCGGGATCCGAATTGCCTCCTGAATTCCAATGGGGGAGTAATGATTTTGAGCCTTGAGTGGCCGTCCATCACCAATAGCTCCGAGGTTGCACTCCAACTTCTTCACTTTGAGATCGATAACAGCCTCGGAGGCTGTTTTACCCAAGAAGTCGGACCCCGCGTACCAATATCGGTCATTATCGTCGTTTCTTGACTTGATTGCCTCATCTGTCAATCGATCAGTCCCCGGTATGAATTTCATACGTATTTCTGGGCTGTTGTCTCTCCAGGTAGAGACGGCAAAGATGCTCGTCTCAGTAGAGCCTTCGGACTGCTGACATTCTCGCTCCATTGAATCCTTGACACTGTCTTCCGAGGAGGTGCTTGGGGATTTGTTGTCTAGAACACGGGAGTTTGAATTGCTATTGTCTGTCCCATGTTGAGCGTAAGGGCTGGTAGAACGCGTACGAGTATCCCCCAGAGGTGTGAAAACATCGGAAAGAGAAGCACCTCCCTCGTTCTCGACTGAACTGGAGTCCATGGTGGTCGGTCCGAACACATCGGAGTTTCCAAAATCAGGCTTCTGTAAGTGGGCCTTGGTTTGCAAGGCTTTCCAAGTCGACTCAAAGGTCGATGGACGGTATTGCCGCTGACCAGGGGGTCCCGCTGTAAGAGGTCTTGGAGCTCCGGTACCTAAGACTCTTGTCGAGAATGTTGGGGCACCTGTCCGGCAGCCCTCTCGAGATGTGAGGCTAGAGGTACCCAAGGAAACCGAACTAATCTCATCCTCAGAAAGCGTAACAGGTTCCTGTTCAGTATCGACCATGGTTGTAGGCTGAACTCTGTAATCTAGTTGAGCTACACCCAGAAGATCCCGTTGTGAGATCTTTTTCTTGGCTGGAGATCCAATCGGGCGGACCGCATTTGAAGGAGCTACGGAGTGGGCTCGGTCAGAAGCGCCACCTGTTGGTTGCTTTATTCCACGAAGCAGGGCCTTCTGAGCCCTCTTCTGGTTTGGATTCGGGTAGGACGCAAGATTGTGAAGAGACTTGACAGTCATTCCAATGAGAGGATCCATCCCAAATTCACTGTCACTGTCGCTGTCTTCCTTTTTGTTCTCATCTCCAGTGTTTTCTTCATCCTCCTCGGAACGCTTTTGGGCTGTGCCGTTGTGATTGCTCACTTGGAATGGCAGGCGCTGATACGGCATTTTCGCGAGAGGGCTGTTTTCTTCAACGAGGGGGCTAACGGCTCGATCGTAATTTTGTTGGAGGGGAGAATACTGCTGAAACATGGGAACCTGGCATCCCGGAGTCTTGAGAGGCAATGAATTGAGAACTGACTTTGGAAACAAGTCGGTAGCACTATTCTGGGCCCACTTGAAAGAGCGACCTCGACGAGTTGGTGGCTGGAGCGGCTGGGAAGTGTTTGGGTTGTAGATTGTCCCAGCAGTAGTGTAAGTTGGCTGCTTTGATGGTGGCACTGTTGCTCGTGCAATGGCCGTTGAGGAGGTGAGACTCGCAGGGGAAGGTCGAAAGTCCATCATCCTTGACGAATAAATCAAATTCAAATAATCCAAAGAACAACAACAAAAGAAAGGCCGAGTGAGTGGCTTCTTTAGGGCTCAGGGAGAAGTAACGTGGGGTGAATGACCGGGTAGAACACTTGCAGAAAGGCAGCCGCAAGGTGAGCAGGGCTGAACGAAGGCAGCGATGAGTGCCAGCTCGACAGTCACTTGCCCAGCAGTGGCAAAAGTTGGTTCCCTTGCTTAGATTTTCCAAGATGTCTTGTCAGGTTTCTTCAACCAGCACGTTCGGTGGCAGGAGGTTTGGAGAGACGGATGAAGGTGGTGAAAGGAGGTGCGAGGGTACCAAGGCTACTGCCCCATCATGGGTCGGGTCAGTGATTGATCAGAGATCTAGGACAGAAAAGAGAAGTGCGTACCTTCCTTTCCAAATTCGGGCGTTTTTTTGGGCGCCCAAGCGTGACGAGATGCCAAAGGGAAGGAGCGTCTCGGTAGCCCAGGGCAGCCACGTGCAATGGGGGAAACCTGGATAAATCGCTACTTCTCAAATTCTGGCACTCGCCAGAATCCAAAAAAAAAGTGAAAGATAGGTGATCAAAACTGGGGAAGGTTGTCTGAAATTTGGGGGGTTCAAGAATAAATGGTCAAAATGATAGAAGATTCTTGTGATCCAAAATAGGTGCTCCGCGACGCATCATTTCCGCATGATCTCTCACAGAAGGCTGTTCCTTTTGAAGACCAAAAGAAGAAGATAAATTGCAAGGGAAAATGGAAGAGGGAGATCGATAGAGACAGGTGGTAGGCTAGTGGGTAGGCGGGGAGGGCATATGACCGGCGAAGTGAGAGTTGGGTGAGAAAGATCTGAGCTCAGTGAATCATCAATACGCCAAAAGCAAGTAGGGACGATGGCGCCGACAGCTACTAGGTACTAAGCTCAGTGTTCATTATCTACCTACCTAAGTGCCTACGGAAATATTTCCCCGTGTTGGCAAAGAATTGAAATTAATGCTTCCAAGCAAAGCGTAACAAAGACGGGACAATTGTAGACAACGACCTCCGCAAAATACCTACGCAAGTCACCCAAATTGCAAGCAATTCCCCCATCACACGGTACGCAGTAGCCTGAAACAGTACCTATACTAAGATGTATAAAAGATTGTTTCTTCTTATATTAATTTGAGAAGCCCCAACCATAGTGAGTAACTAACATGTGCCAGCCCATAGCAATATCTTGTAAAACCTTAGCGCCTTAACCCCTGGTGTGTGAATGAAAAAAATAGACAAAGATGTCAGCAAACCATGGCTAGCCCCCTCCTAGCGGGATGGCCGAAGAAAGATACAAAACCTCCTGGGTTAGAGGAAAAAAAGTCGAAGAAGGGGAAGAAAAAGAAAAAAGAAAATGAGTGAGGGAGTGACTCAAGGACATTGTTCCTTGTTCCCGGACAATGAAGAATCCGGTGTGGGCAAAGCTGGAGCAGGTATAGGCATTTGGCCCATTAATTTTGAAGAAGGCGCATAGGCCTAGAAGCACCTCTATACACCGATGATGAAAACAATCCCCGTCAAGTCAGAAGGACCATAACAACCGTGTTGTAAAAACTGGACATAGACCGTTTCGGTTCGTATTCCGAGAATTTCGATGTATGTGATCGCCATGGGGCCACGACGAGTGGAAAGCCAGCTCTCTTAGATATACATTAAGAAGGAGATGGCCGGGAAACAGAGTTGGCCGCTTGACGTTGGGTAAGAAAACTAGACACATGAAGAAAAATCGGTATTTAGAGTGATCTCCAAGAAAACGGGAGCATCTATCGGTCATGAAATTTTCGTCCTGGTGGCCTTCCGACTTAGAAGCCGCCTCCAGGATAAGCGCTACCGGGCACTGTGCCTGGTCCAGTCCGTGGACCTGGTCGAGACCCGGGTACTTGAAAGTCGGGGTTATCTAAAAGCATGTCCTGGCGGTGTTGAACTTGACGACGAGCGTGTTGGTGTGGCATTGGGGGGGGAGCTTCCCATCGGGGATTTACACCCCGTTGCGAGATAGAAGTAAAGTTCGACCGTTCCGATCCGGTGGGACTTCGAGCTCCGTGGGCTCGAGCGTCCTCATACGCGGGCTCCCCTGCGGGAGGCAAGACATTAGATGACTGTCTGCCTTCGAAACGAGGGTCTACATCCTCATAGTAATCGCTC